GGAACTCTCGAGCTGCATACCTCCAGCTGCTATTTCTGCCTGTCCAGTTTATGAAAACCATTCCCCTAGAAGCCAATCAAGTAGTCATTCATTGCTCCGCTAATACTAATCTCTAATGCGTAATGTTCAGCGAGTGCCAGCAAAACGAGCGGTACTATTGGATTTTACTTTCGCTCCTATCAGTTCTGACCTTTTCGCATGTCCGCGATAACATCATGCATTCTGCTCATCTAACACAGAATTCGTTTTTTTATGAATTTTTGGTCTGCAGCGCTAGAGCGCTGCAACAAGCAGCAAAAACGCGTGCAACAACCCTTCACTGTGTGTGCATGTGCGTATGTTTGTGTGTGTGTTCGTCTGTTCGGACATTTCAACTTGCGAACCACGCAAGCTTTGAAGCTGGAATTATAGCCAGTGTGTTCCCCGGCCAAGTGTCACCCCAGGACCGTGGTACCAACTCTCACACACGTAAGGGCCTGGCGTACAACGATGTGAAAGTTTTGGCGAGAAAACTGCCCACTTGGGAACGAGAAAAGCTAGAAAGTTGAAACTTTAGGGAGTGCTCCCCACCCATGTACGACCGAAACCAGCTATTTAAAAGTGCCCGGGATCCACATACAATTTCACGTGTTTACGTGAAATTTTTGGCAGCAAAGCTGCTAACTTGAGAAAGAGAAAGCCAGAAAGCTGAGACTTTAGGGGAATGCTTCTTACTCACACAGGACCATAAGATTTCAAATTCAGCTCCTTAGAGCGGCCTGAACTCACGTATACATGGAAATTTTAGCGGAAAAAACACTAACTCGTAAATGAGAAAAGCCAGGAAGCAGAAAATTCAGGGCATACTCGGGGGTTAGTTATGAAGTCACTGGGACCTACGTGGACGGGGACCATCTCCTTAAAATTATAGGCTTCTAGCTCCTCAGGTTTCCCAGTTAGCAACCTACCCGAAAAGACTTTGGCGAGCCCGTACGTGGGTACCAAGCATACCGGGAACTGGTTTAAAGCTCATTAAGACTTACGTGGACAGGCAACATCCTCTTAAAATTTCAGCTTTCTAGCGTTTCTGATTCCCGAGTTAACAACTTACCTGCAAAAAACTTCCACGGCCCCGTACATGGATACCACACGGGTAAGAACTCTCATTTCAGGGACTCAGGCCCGTACGTTTATGTTAGATTAAGTACCCAAAGTTTCAGCTCTGTAGCTTTTATAGGTCTTGGGATGAAAAATCGGTACAGGCGCACACACACACACGCGCACACACACACACACACACACATACACACACACATAGTCTCTCGTCAGTATGCGTCTTCTTCATTCCATAAATGCAACCCAGACTGGAACACACGGGCAGGGCCAGTGCGATCATTTGTTTTTGCAGCGGACTTGAAGTACTCAGGCCATTAGCTGCATGAATGGTTGTTGCTTTACACCTACCTTCTGCAGTCACTAGCATAAATCACCATAAATTCTGCATAAAGTAAATGTGCAATTTCCATTTAACAGTCATTCTTTAAAAGTGACCTAGTTGTTCACTGAGAAATTTTCCCGCCAAAACTTTAAGTGCCCGTTCGTAAGAACAACACTTATCACAAGGATGAATTTGAAACACTTAAGTTGTACTTGGACAGGGAACATGCCCCTAAAAATTCCAGCTTTCCAGCTTTTCTGGTTACCGAGTTAGCAATTTTCCCACCAAAACCTTCACATACCCGTAACTGGGTACTCCACGTGCCTGGAAAGCTGAATTTGAAATTTCTAAATTGCGCATGGACAGGGAAGATCTCCCCAAAATTTCAACCTTCCAGATTTTCTGGTTACCGAGTTAGTAATTTTCCCGCAGAAAATTTCATACGCCTTTACTTGAGTACCACGCATAGCTTAGGGCTGAATTTGTAATATTTGAGTTTTACCTGGATAGGGAACATTACCCAAAACTTCGGCTTTCTGGCTTTCCTGGTTTCCGAGTTAGCAGTTTTCCCGCTAAAGCTTTCATACGCCCTTACGTAAGCACTACGCATACTTGGGGGCTAAATTTAAAATCTTTTTGCTAGCACATACATAGGGAATATTCCTACAAAGTTTCAGCCCCTTAACTTGTGTGGATCTTGAGATCGCTTTCTCGTTAAAAAATTTGCATATTTTTTTTAAAGCGTTCGTACACGGTACCCAGGCGTCCGCTGGGGATGAAATTAAAACGGGAGGGTAGCACATGGTATGGCACATACTCACAAACTTTCAGTCTTCTAGCTTTTATGATTCTCGAATTGAATGTGGGTGACAAAAAGTGCGAACACACACACATACACACACAGCCTCTTCCCAGTATGCGTTTTTGCAATTTGCATACATGCAAAAACGCACAAAAAAACGCATAAAAAGTGATCACAGCCCTTCTGCCTTGTACGTTGATGTGCTAGTTATGCTCTTTAGCATGTATACAAATGCGAAAACGTATATTGCGACAACCCCAGTGTGTGTGTGTGTTCGTCTGTCCGGGTATTTCAACTCGGCGTCCAAGCAAGCTGCGGAGGCAAAAGTTTGCCGATGAGTTCCCGGGCCAAGTGCCACCCCAGGGCCGCGGTATCAACATTCACGCAAGTCTGGGCCTCGCGTACGAGGAGGTGAAAGTTTTGGCGGAAAAATCGCTAATTCGAGAAAGAGGAAAGCTAGAAGACTGGAATTTTGAGTTATGTTTCCCAGCCCACATAGAACTCAAAGATTTCAAATTCAGCCCCCAGAGATGTGTTGTTCCCGCGTATGGCTTCGTAAAGATTCCTGGCACGAAAGTCGCCAACTTGAAAACCAAGAAAGCTAGGAGGCTGAAATTTTATGGGGATGTTCTTAACTCATGTACAACTTAAAGTCATCAAATTCAACCCCCGGGCATATGTGGTTCTCATGTATTTGACAGGAAGATGGCTAACTCAATTAACAGGAAAGCTGAAGAGCTGAAACTTGGAGGGGATGCTCCTCGCCCATGTAAAACTTAATCTTACCAAATACAGCCACCGGGCGTGCGTGGTTCTCACGTACGGCCCTGTGAAATTTTTTTGGCGGGAAGAGTTGCTAACTCGGAACCAGGAAAGCTGGAAGGCTGAAATTTTAAAGAGATGTTCCCATCCCACATACAACTTAAAGATTTCAAACCTAGCCCATGTGTACTTGATTATGGAAGTTTTGGCGCGCCCTATGGAAGTTTTGACGCAAAAACTGCTTATTCGGGAACCAAAAAAACTGGAAAGCTGAAATTTTAGGAGGATATTCCCCAACCAAACACAACCTAAGGTTTTCAATCCAGCCTCCACTTATGCGTGTTTCTCGTGTACGGGCACTTAAGTTTTTGGCGGGAAAATTACTCATTGAAAAGCTGAGTCATTTTCAAAAAACGCCTGCTAAACAAAAATTGTTTATTTTCTTTTATACAAAATTTACAATAATTTACGGCACTGAGCGCACAAGGTAGGTGTGAAGAAACAACCGTTCATGCAG